TGCTCACCTTGCCTGCCCATCATTGTCGTGGTGCGCTGGTATACGACGAGCCCACCACCGTTGTCAACTGATGTAGTGCCCGCCGTCATAGCTTTATGCTCCTCTTGCCTGCCCACTATTGTTGTAGTGCGCTGGTATACCACTGCCCACCACCGTCGTTGTCCAAGAATGCAGACATATCCAATATTGTTGTGGGGTCTGCTCCTTGTCACAACATCCAACAGTACAGCCCTATCCAATATTGTTGTAGTGTAATCATTCAATTATGGTGATGCCCAGTCATGTTGTAGCTCTACCGTGTCATACCGTAAGGGATGCTTTACCTAAGGATGTTGTAACTCCACTGGATCCACCTTTGTACACGAAGGCAAATGGATGTATGTCCACAGCTTGTTAATTATTCAAGCAACTAGCATTGGATAGGGGCCCGATCTGCACGCGAGATCATCATATCGCGTGCGCACTCAATCTTAGCTCACCTTGGGCCATCAAAAACAATCGCGTATCTACGAGGTTCCGTGTGGTGGAAGTCGATGATAGCTGCTGTAAGGGCTTTCTGCGAAAGCTGCGTGACCTGCAGGAAGAGCAAACCTAACAATCAGAAACCGTATGGATTGCTCAATCCACTACCGGTACCTACCCGTCCATGGGAGGCAATCGGAATGGACTTCGTGGGTCCACTGCCTGTGTCGAAAGACAGAAATGCGTCTTATGACGAAATTACCGTAGTGATAGATTTGCTCACCGGCCGAGTTCATCTTATCCCGAGCCGACAGGATTACCGGGCGAAGGACATAGCGGAACTAGTATTTTCAGAAGTCTACCGGTTACACGGGTTGCCGAAGCGCATCGTCAGTGATCGTGACGTCTTGTTCACGAGCGCATTCTGGCAGAATTTCAACAAAATGTTAGGTATACAACTGAATATGTCGAGTGCCTACCACCCGGAGAGTGACGGTTCCACGGAACGTGCAAATCGGACCATCACACAAATGATTCGTGCTTGCGTCAGCCCCGATCAGAAGGACTGGGTCTCGAAACTACCTGGCATCGAGTTCGCGATCAACTCGGCACGATCGGAAAGTACGGGTTACGCACCGTTCTTCCTAGACACCGGTCGGATGCCTAGGTCCATGATATGGGATCAGCCAGGTGACACCGAGTACCCTGGCGTTCGAGTTTTTGCGCAGCGTATGCGAAACGCGATAATGGCAGCACACGATGCAATTCTTGAGGCTCGAGTGAAACAGACGCGAGCCGCTAATCGGCATCGCCGGCCTGCCCCATTTACAGTGGGCGACATGGTCTACATCTCGACTAAGAATATTAGCTTTCCCAAAGGGCGCGCGCGCAAGCTCGTGCCAAAATATATAGGGCCTTACATTATTTCAAAAGACTACGGAAACAACTCGTTTCGCGTAGATTTACCTGCGCGCTTGTTGCAGCGAGGCGTGCATCCCGTATTCCACTCGTCTCTTCTGCGAGTGCATGTAGCCAACGATGACCGATTATTCCCCGGGCGCGCAGAGATGCAGGTGGCGGACTTTGGCGAAGACGGAGGCGAATGGGCGGTAGAACGAATTCTGTCACACAAAGGTAAAGGTTTAGCCGCGGTATTCGAAATCAAATGGAAAGCGGGTGACATTACCTGGCTACCGCTTGATCGGATCGACGGCCTCGAGCAGTTGAAGCTGTATCTAGATGAGCAAGGTGTCAGCAGCGTGGGCGAGCTTCCAGAAGGTAAAGGAAAGCTCGATACCGATGATCCTCAAGTCTTCGTCGGCGGGATTCGGTACGAGACCGTATTGGATGACCGTCCGGCTGGAGGGCGCGTATTTAGGCCAACGGGGGCTAACGCCCGATCCTTCAAGACTCGTCAACTCACGTTCCCCAAGAATCACGTCAAGACTTACCGTTCTTCGTTTCCTCGCTGCATGCCCTCGTCCTCCGACTCCAACCAACCCCCCAACTCCTCGACCAACACGACACCCGTCCGCTCAAACTCCCGTTCGGATCGCGCCGCTACTCCTCGTCGTGGTGCGTCTCGCGAGGCGTCACCCGGCGAGGATGTCACTCACCTCATCACGGTCCATCGCGGCATTGACTTCGACACGCGTACCCTCGAGTTCGTGATCGACCGGGTCCCTCCCCCATCGATCGGAAGCCCATTCACCGTCTGGCACTGGCGCTACGTCGACAGACTCCTGCGCTACGACGACAGCATCCGCGACGGCTCCGCAATTCTTGAGGAGCCTGTTCCGCCCGGTTACGACGAGCTACGCACCACCCTTCGCAACGTCATCGACCCATCGGAGGCATCCCTCTCGCTACTCGTCCATGACATTAGCGCCGAGAACGAGACCCGCGCAGACATTCAAGGCTCCTCACCTCGATCCATCCTTTTCAATGATGCCGTCCGGGATGCCATCCGCAATCGTCGTCGCTCGCGCCGCGAACCATCCAATCATCGGTCGTCGGGAAATGGTCCGGATTCGCGCAAACCTCCTACGGCAGACGTCAAGCTGCGCAATGGTCAAGCCTACTCGTTTTCGGACATGGAGGTGATCAACTACGCCATGATGGGGAGCGTGCGGGCAAAGATGAAGAGGGAGCTGATCTGGCGTGAGCGCCGTCGCAAGTGAAGGAGGGGCGGGAAGTTACTTATTTTGGTGAAGCGGTTTCCACTTCAGGAGGGCGTGTGTAGCGGTTCGGCCATCGATGCTATCGAGACCGTCGCTACTTTCCTTTTTTGTTCGCTGGACGCTTACGCGTCCCCCCCTTTGATTCATCAGCATGCTCCACCTCCATATGGTCAGGTACTTACGATAGAGTATAAGTACGCCGATGCTTGACGGAGGAGGGGCGACTTTTTTGTATCTTCTCGAGTTGCTCAATAACGAGACTTTGAACTCTCTGACTGTGCCGCTCGAGAAACTGACCGTGTGAACGCACTTTGATCAGTTCTGATCTTACTCGCGTCACACCCGCGCTCGCGAGTCGCGTCATCTGATCTAGAAAAAAAGCAACTGCGGCTACTCTAGTAGTCTACTCGCTTGTGATCGCGCAGCCGTTCAATCTCGGCCAAGTGCTGCCTATCTCGCTGGCTGCCCTAACACACGAGACCGTTTGGTACGATGTTCACGTAGGAGACCTGGCTCGTTGTGTCTTTCGGTATTCGTGGGAATGTTGCCGCGCGCGCGTCCCTCCGTCCGTCTGACTCCGTCAAGCGCTGGCCACATCTTGTCATCAGCCAGTGCGCGGACCGCTGGGGATACTTACATAGCACGCTCGCCTTGAATCGCATTGTTGTGTACCCCATGGATATCGGTACCAGTCAAAAGCATTCGGCGGAGCTTGAGGACGACGTTCGAGCGAGTATCCTTTGTCGCGATCTCGACGGGTGGGCAGTGATTAACCTATGGGCCTTTCAGTACTAGTACGGAGCTCGCGAGATGACAGACGCGAAGAAAGGACCAGCACTTCTCGGATCGGCACAGAGAGATCGCTTGGTTTTCGAAACGCCCACACCGCCAGGGGAAGACGAGGTGATTACCATGATATCACCAGCGCCCCAAGATCGTCGGCCAACGCGGAAATGGGCCGACCAAGGCTGAGCGCTGCAGCAAGCCTCGCCGCCGTGGAACGATGCTGTTCATGACGATCTATTAGCTCCGGACACAGAGCTACGGCACGAGCCGAGGAAGCTACATATGCTCATAGCAAAGACTGAGAAAGCGGCAATGAGCGCTGCGGCTCTCTCTCAGGCCCTGATGAGCGACATGGAGAGGCTCGCCACACGCATGTTCCTCGCTTGAGAGTGTAAGGATCTGACGTTGCAGACCCACCCAGGTACGTGCTTCTTTAGCGACCGCGTGTCTCCTCCTCCCTGACGGCTGTCCGCACAGTCCCACACAGCAAAGGAAACTAAAACACTCTGCGACGCCTCCAATAATCCGGATGAATGGAGGAGAATCCGACCTTAAGGCAGTCGTTGGCACGCTGCGACGGATGGAGCCCGACACTGCCAACGGTACCCCGGTTGAACAGGGACACCGCTTCATTCCTACCACCGCACGCTGCTCGGCTTTTTTGTGGTGACGACACGACCTGCTGCACATGTCCGCGCATTCAGGGCCGGCCCAACCCGGACACAGAGAGGTTGCTCCGCCCACGCATGGGCATCGACGAGCAGGGTCACGCCTTCGACGACAGAAGCCCATGTCCGCCCCCGCCGTCGCATGGCCCCCGCCGTCGCATGACCCCCGCCGTCGGTTCCAGCTCACGAATCGTGAGCAGGCCCTCCGGCTCCATCTGGACTCCTACCGCCCAGCCCAAACGCAGCTCGCGCGCGGCGGCTTCGGCACGATGCCCATGCCAATTCAGCGCCGCACCGCGCCTGACTCGGAGTGGGCGCCGCTGTACGCGAGCTTTGGCGAGATACCGTACACGACGCTGCACCGCCGCAGGAATTGGTGCGCGTACTGCGAACAGAAAGCCATGCGCACGCTGCCGCGGTGGGTCGCGCATGCGAGAGAATTGGGGTATGAGGGCGGGAAGATGGTCTTTGTGAATTACTATCCAGACGCGCTGATCGAATGGGACGACGGGGAGAGGCGATGGCGGTATATGGTGTCGCACCACCATCGCTCGTTGGATTTCTTTTGAAGAATGGGAAGGGCGCCAACAGCCGGTGCCGGTGCCGGTGCCGGTGCCGGTGCCTGTGTCAATGCCACGAGTCCAGTTAACGCCCTCGCGGACAATGTTGCCATCAGATGTTAACAAAATAAGATTACCTCTGGCCTCAGATTGAGGTGGATGATATCACGCCCATGCAAATACTCCTAACAGGCTGTGAGCTTCTCAAATTGGAGAGCGTGTTGACCAGATACCTAATCCTGGATCATCATCCATCCGCAACCGCCTCGTGGTCCTACAGCGTCGCTCTACACCATGTATGCAAGGAAAAGGTAATAGGATAAGGATGAAGTTCGGATGGTGCCACGGTTTCCATGAGGGAAGGATTACGCGTCACACGAGCAGTTTGTACAATCGCGAGTACCTCAGGAATCATGTGTCTACAAAATGCATGTACGCGATGTTATACGATTCGGGAATACTGAAGTTAGATCCATTGACAATCTTCGGATCGGCGGTACCGTCGCTTGGTCTCTCCTCCAATTCTTCTACGGGAACCCATCGATGGTGATCAAGGACCAGATGACGCCAACCTTTCCGCGATTCATCCCACTCGACCACCTCGTCCTGCCTGAGATTCACGAACACAGGATTCCCGTTCTCCATTACTTCTTCAAGGGAGTACCATTCAATGATCCATGGAGGGAGCGTTCGCATAGCTTTGGCTACGCAGGTCAAGCACCGCCCATATTCGACATGCCATGCCTCGAGCGTATCAAACACTCGCGAAGGTACATGTCGAAGTTGAAGGATGAATCGCGTCGAGAATGCCCTGGGACGTCGTGGGTTGGGCGGTATCGGAAGGATGCGCATATCACGATCCCTACTCGTGGATATTTCATGGCGAAGAGCCAATTCGGTCACGAGCAGAGCAGCATGCTCCGTGCCAGTTTGCGGAGGGCATGCGGACCAGTCCTCGAATGCTACTCCCTGCGCGTCCACGCCCATGCGGGGTCTGGGATGTGTGAACGATGAATTGTTAGCCCGGTTTTGCTGTAGCGTAGTCCGTCGGCAGGTGCAATTGATGGGAATTGCGTCAATCTTGGATCTATACAGATGCGCAAGCTCCTCAGGTGTATAATCTTCCGGGCGTTTGGGTAGGCGGGCCCGGGCGCGGTATAACGCCTCGAGCTCCTCGGCTGTATGTTCTCGATAGGGTTTCTTTGCACCAAACTTCATGCGAAAAAAGGCCTCGCGCTGTTCTGGCCTAGCGTTTGCGAATAGTCTAGCCTCCTCGGAGGAACTGCGTCGGACAACTTGAGATGACGACCAGCTACACACGCGATAATAACTCACAGCAGCTTGTTTGTCGCCGCATCCCTACGGCGGGCACGCTCCTTCCCTAGGCTGATGATCGCAGCCTTCATCCGCTCGTAGCCTTGCTTCACCTCCGTGGTGGCTGCAACGACGTCCTGCTTGCGGTCGCGCAGCCATTCGATCTCGGCCAAGGCACGCACAACACGGGCCTTCCTATCTCGCCGACCGCCCTCCGCTCGAGTTCGTTTGGTACCTTCGTCCATGAAAGTAGGAGATCTGGCTCGTTTCTTGCCTTGCGTCCGTTGGAGCGACGGCTTCGCCAGTGCGGGTGGAAGGGTGCGTGTAGGTGATGAGGGACCGGGAATACTGGTGAAAGTAGCCGTGTGTTGCGGCATGAGATGGTTCATCGAGTCTATGCTTGTATCAGTCATCGAGTCTGGAGTCGGAGAGCCCGGGCGTACCAGGCGCCAGGGAAAGCTTCCGAAGGCGAAGATCAAACTTGAGTTCCGCGTCGGTCACTGTCCAACGCTTGTAACTGTACTGCGAAGGTACGGATCGTCCTCGCGCAAGGTATCTTAGGTAGTAAGGGTCAAACAGTCAAGCAAATGTTAAATTTCCAGTATGACGGGAACGACGGCAGGGTGCGTCGCCTGAGATTGTAGTGTGTCTGTTGTTACGAATGGATTGCGACGACCCTACATGGAACAAACACTATTGTTGAAGATGCGGAGACATGTGTGAGAAAGACTCTTGTTGTAGGACTGCTTGTTGTTGTCCAAGTCGTCGTCGACGGCTGGAAAGATGTTTTCACGCGCCAAGAGGGACTGCATTGCTTTTGGACAGCATTTACGAGGTCCCACCATGTCTTGATTGCGACCACGATAGCTTCCGGCACAGTTCGGGGACGACTGCGAGATTGGCACAGATGCGTATAAGACGAGGCTGAGAACGCGGCGCGGACTGCTTCATTTTACCCTACATTTTCGGCTTGAAATCGCAATCAAGTACGAATCCGCCATGCCGTCGTGGCTGAGACAACATTTCGGGAAACCCTCATCCAACGCCGAACCTGACGTGAACGCACCCCCGCCCGAATGGACTGCCGCACCCGAGCAAAGCTACGCCGACGGACTCTACAACGAGGCATCCGATGCGGACTACGAGGCCGCTGAGCAGTTCTGCTCCGACCACCCTCCCGACCTGCCGAAGCTCTTGCCTTCGCATGCTATCGACCGAATCTCGGCGGTGGGATGCGCGGCATGGGGGCTCGATTGGCCCAATAGCAGGCGATTCATCGGGCGGATATCAAACGCATCGAAGGCGAAGGGCAGACAAGCGGTAACACGCGTCGAGACCGAGGATACATGCATAAAATAAAGCATAATTTTCATGTCTTGTGATGACCCAAAATGTACACTAGAGGATCGGTATACCTCACGTCTGCAAGATGGACACTACCGCGTGCCAGTGCCTTCGCCGCCGTGTTCACCGGGTCCGGCGATGTAGCGAGACCTTTCCGTACCGTCGCGGCTCGCGCGCAGTTCAGCTTGATCGAATTGCGCTTGGCCGACGAGAGGACGCGCTCCGAGCGATCGTGCGTCACCGGGGAGTAGCGATAAGTCCACCCACCCGCGGTCCGCGCCAGTTGGGTTTGTCGGCCAAGGCAACGAAGGTTTCGCTCACGGGATCCCAGCCTTTAACGTCTGTTTCTTCGTAGTAGTAACGTTCCGACTCGACAAACGACGGCGGCCCGGGTGCGACGGGTTCACAAGCCTGTGCTCCAGGGATCGGAATGACACGGACCGTGGCGAGCGAGGAGCTTGGTTCCGGGGCAATATCGCTAGCAAGCGCGCCGTTGTCGCCCCCAGACCCGAAGAAAGTCGGATGCACAAGAGAATACAGAAAATCCCATTCAAGCCCCCGGCGTGCCTCGAATTCGCTCTCGGAGATAAGGCCAGCATCAAACAGAGAATCGCTGTCGGCGGAGAAGCAGTCGCTGAAGTCCAGAAGACCGTTCTTGTTGACGGGATCATGGTTGCTAACGGCAGGTCTCCCGCCCCCAGCGATAAATCCTTGAACCAGAGGGTCGTCGTACTCGTATTGGGCAGAGAATGGAGGGGGGACTTGACATCCGTTGAACCAGGCGTGTCGTCGCGCTTCGCGTAAGCCGATTCGTTCGCTCATGGACACCTTCGTAAGGCTTTCGATGAGGTCACATGCTGCAAAGGAAGAATCTATAAGCATTCTCTGAGGACAAACAAGGATGATGGATTACCGTTGGAGCTCATCATCTGCCTCCGTAATTTAGTGAAATTCGTGCGCCTCCTTTGCATAATTTCTTCGAAGAACATGCCTCCTTCTATGTCATAAAGCGGCTTACCCCAGTGGCTTTCCGAACGAACGTGGTAAGCGCCATGGACGAAGGAACGCGTGCAAACGACTCACATGAAAAACATGATGGCTCCTAAGCTGAAGGCATCGCTGAGCTCCGTATGCTCATAGTTCAGTGATTCAGGTGCAGCCCATGCGGCACTCTTCATCATCGCCTGACGAAGAGATGGACTGAGCTCTCTATCTTCATTCTTCCCGGAGCGCGCGGCGAGCCCGAGACCACTGATCTTGACTATGGGACCAGCTGAGCCCAAACCGTATACGAGGACATGCTGAGCGACTCCATTGTCAGTCAGCCAGACGAACGGTAGCCACAATACTAACCTCGGGCTTCATGTCGCAGTGGAGTATGCCTTGATCATGCATATACTAGCATGAGTCAGTCAATTGCAATCAACATCGATGTGCGTGTCCCTCACCATCAGTCCGTCCATGAGTTGAGCCATGACGGGTCGAGCAAGAGATTCGCCTGTAATCAAGGAGAGATTCAGCAGCAGTCAAACCAAAACATGGAGAGAGGCACACCGAGCTTCCCATTTCCTATCCTGATGAAGTCGTGTAGGTTTCCATGAGGAGCGAGAGACGTCACAATGCCTGATGATAATAGGTAGCGTAAGTTATGAATGAGACCACCTGGCGCGCGCATCGCTTACTTATTTGTCTCTCGGAGCCCTGGAGATTCTCGGGATGCATATAGCAGTCGAACAGAGACACAATATTCCGGTGGAGGAGCTCATCGCATATCCTGATATTAGACGCAACTTCGTCGAGATTTCTAGTCGGTACCGTGATACGCTTGACGACGACAGCCTGGCGGGTGTGCAAGTGCTGTGCGATCCAACGGCCTGGGAAGACTGTCAGTGTTTGAATGTCATGCAATCGGTATACAGTACTTGGTGCTGCCTCTCCGACCGCTATGGGTTCGCGGACATCGTACCGTTCGGCCTCGACACCGTAGGGCGTATCTTGAGCACCAATTAAGTGCCGATAGATGTACTCTTCAAGATACCAGCGATTAAGAGCCCGCAAACACGACTAATGATATGCCTACACACCTGCACCATTGAACCGAATAACGTCATTGGACTGGAGTTTGCGTGGCTCTCCAGGTATGAGATGCACTCCATTTATCTGTTGAAGTTATCAGGGAAGATGGTTCATGATTCGAAGGATCACAGGACGTACGTAGACTGCGACCTCGAGGCTATCGCATGAAATCTTCGTGCAAGCATCTGACTGGTTACCGTCTCGTTTGCGAGCTGTGCACAACCTATCGAATGGCACGCGAGCTGCTATCGGTGCTTTGTCATGGCGATGCAGATGAGCGCGCGATACGTACTTATCGTCACGTATCTATTATCCGCCAGTAAGCAACGGTATAGGAATCAGGGACAGGTGTATCGTGTAATCCATTAACGGTCTGGGCATCGGCGGTGCGGTCGCTCGGTCTCTCCTCCAGCTCCTCAACAGGAAGCCATCGATAGTGGTCGAAGACAAGGTGGCGCCAACGCTTCCGTTCTTCATCCCACTCGACGAGCTCGTCCTGTCTTTGGTTCGTGAATGCAGGATTCCCATCTTCTATCGCCCCGTGAAAAGGACTGAATTTGATGATCCACGGAGGGAAAGTGCGCATCGCCCTCGCTATGCAGGACAAGCAGCGTCCCCTTTCAACGTGCCAAGATTCCATCCAGTCGGATACGGTGGGAGTTATATGTCGAAATTGGAGGATGAAACCCGTCGAGGATGCCCTGGGGTGTCGCGGCCAAATTCGCACTGGGTAAACATGTGCGTCAGGTGTGACATCGGCGTATATGCTGGAGGATGAGCGCATCCGGAGGAGTTGCTCTTTCCTCAGGATCCGCGGCAAGGTGCGGAAGGGCGGGTGGGAAGTCCAGTCCTCGAAGGCCATTCCTTGTGCATCCACGCCAATGCGGGGGCGGGGGCGCAGGTATGTTGTGATCTTGGCGTGTTCCTGCTGTAGCGCGGTCCGTCGACAAGTGCAGGGGATTGGAGGAGTGTCGATGTGAGCGCGATATAAGGACGCGAGCTCATCGCGAGAATGTTCTTCGGGATTTCTTCGGACGCGAACTTGATGCACACTGGCCGTCTCGGATGTGCGAGCATGGATGTCGGAAGTCCCTAGATTCGTGAGCTCTTGTTGTGATTCCAGTCGCTGGGATAAGTTGGAGTCTCCCCTCGGAAGCCTACGGTTGAAAGCCATGAGAAGGAGTAAGTGGAGAACGACAGGCGATACTCACAGGTTGACTCCAGTGCGCCCAACACGATCTGCGCCCCCCGTAAAGGGGTACCCGCGTTGGCGAGCCCGCTCGCCCGTCACTACTAGGTCGACAAGACCGTCCTCCATGCGGTTGATGCCCTGCTGCATCTCTGCCACAAGAAGGAGCACATTTCCCTTCCGTTCTTGCAAAAACTTGAGATCGTCCAGGGCGCGGTGAACCGTGGTCCCCCTTTCTCTTCGAGATCCATCGTCCACGCGACGACGTTTCGTATGGCGTTTTTCTGGCACGGAAGAGGATCGAGATCGCTTTCCTGCACGTGTGGGTGGATATGAAGTTTCGACGATTGCAGATGAAGGCACCTTCTTGATATGGTGAGGAGCGGTAGGATGAATGTTTTTGCTGTACTCACCGAGGCCATCTGGTTCGTGGGTATGAGCGGTGCGTGAGGCACTGGTAGTCGCCCGCTTGTGAGCCGGTCGTTGAGGTCCATCTTCCGGTCTATGCACTGGTCAATCGATATCCATCCGAAGGCGGGAGTCCATGTGCGTACTGGTTTGGAGGTAGATGGCCCGCCGTGGGTGTTGGGTGCGATTTGTCTTCTTCTCGTACGGTTTCAGAAGTTGCTTGCAGACGACGCGCTTCAAAAAAGTTGAGGTACTTCACGAAACGTGCGGACTTGCTACAGGGATGGCGGCAACTCGGAGTCGGGTGCTAGACTCTAGACCAGTACACGCGCAATACGTTTATCATCTCGGACGCGTTCGACAGCAATTCGGATTTCTAAGCGCCTTGCTAACCGTCCGGGGAACAAGGTGGTTGTAAGGTGTGGTTATGCATGGTTATTGTTATCGGTCTGTTATTGTTGTTGTCGTCGTCAAGGGGCAATGAAGACAGCAAAATCTTGCCCTCGTCAAAGGTGGCGCGCCACATTCTTATCGCACATAATTTACTTGTTTTACTTGTTTAGAAACCCCCCTCCGGATATGCACTGCACTTGAGTTATGCTATCAGATCTATGTATAGTATAGTATACTATACACGACTGCAGGATCGTGATACATGTTTCTATGCCCTAGTCGTCTACCCCGAGGAACTCGCATGCCGCTATCGCCATCGCCTCCACGCTCTGCCTCAGATCCTCCAGCAACAGCGCTTCGTCGCGATTATGCACGTTCCTGAACCCCCCCAGCGTTCGTGAGCTCCAAAAGCCAGGGGGGGCGAGTCCGATAACTCACCTGATATTCCCGGGTCCGTACACCACCGTGCGCCCGATCCCGGCGCGTACGAAGAACCGCTGGTCGTCCGACCCGGGCGAGCACACCACGCCCGCGTCCGCCGCGCCCGCCGCGCGCGCGATCGCGCGGCGCATCGTCCGGCAGAACGGCTGGTCCGGGTCGACCCAGACCGGCTCGGTTTGGTACGTCTCCGCGTACTCGTATGCGAAGTTCGGCACGGTCGACGCGAGCTCGGCGAGGAGGGCGTGGATGGCGCCGCGGGCGCCGTCGAGCGTCTCGCCCGGGACGAGCCGGCGGTCGAACGAGAGCGCGCAGCGGTCCGCGACCGAGTTGGGGTTCGTGCCGCCGTGGAAGGTCTGCGGGTGGGACCCGGAATGAGCGGGGGTTTAAGGAGGAAAGGTGGAGAGGGGGGGGGGGCATGGAGGAAGGGACGGGGAGCTGCGTACGGTGAAGGTCATGCTGCTGCCCCGCGCCTCTTCTGGGATCACGCGCTCGTCCCGTCGGCCTTGGAGGAGCGGCGCGAAGCGCTCTTTGCAGCGGGTGACGAAGAGCGCGGCGTGCTCGACGGCGTTGACGCCGCGCTGGGGGATCGCGCCGTGCGCGCCGATGCCGTGGAAGGTGATCGTGCCCCAGAGCGTGCCGCGGTGGCCGCAGCAGAGGTTGTCGACGTTGAGCGGTTCTGTTGGCGTGAGGTCAGAAACAAAAAAAAGAGAGAGGAAGAAGGTGGGGTGCGAATGCTTACCGGTAATAATGACGGCGTCGGTCTTGTCGGCGGAACAGTAGCCTTGTTCGATGAGCCAGCCGGCTCCTGATCCGGATCTGAGCAAGATGTCCTCGAAGTCGGCGCGAGATCCGCGACCTACCTGCGTTGCGCACGCCGGTCGTCTCTTCGTCAACGACGCCGCTTTGCTCGACGGTACCGCGCAGGGTGAGTCCCGCACGACGGACGGCTTCCACGGCGTAGATCTGTGCGAGTCAGAGACGGGTAAATATATGCGCATATATGATGATATATCTTGGGCACGCACCTGTGCCGCCAGACCTCCCTAGACGGTGACGAAGGCGCGATTTTCGTGAGCGTCGAACGGAGCGCGGTGGGATAGTTCGCGTGTATGCACCTTCATATCGGACACGCCGCGTCCGTATATCACGCCGTCTTCGATCTCTGCACCGAAGGGATCGTGGGTCCATGTATCGCGTGAGCCAATGGGCACGACGTCCTGTCATAGAGATCCATCATCCTCTGAGCATAGACAACACCGAGCAGCATACGGTATGCCCATTGAAGTGTAGTACTTGCTCCCTGTTCTTGCCTGCGGCGGTGATGGGAGAAGCCGACTTCGATTTCAGGCGTCCAAGCACGTTGACACGCTCATGTCCGTCGAAATGCGGGGCCAAGGTGGGGAGGTCTAGACAACCCGTATTCATCAGGAAAATCCGATCAGACGTAAACGACGCTGGGACGAACCGGACTGCGCAACCTCGAGCAGCTCCGTCTCGTCGTATCCGAGTTGGTCGAGCTTGTCCTTGATGACCGTCGCGATCCGTCGATAGCTATGGACGCGTCCGCGTCAGCGCTTCGAGTGCAGCCGCGGACAGAACCGGTATCGAGCCCTGCTCACTTCAACCCCGGCGGGTTGGTGGTGTCGATCTGGACGAGATCCTGCAGAAACGCGATGCATTCGGGCAGCAAGGCGTGCGACGCCGCCCTGATGCGCTCCAGCTTGCTCTCATCAGTGTTCGCCATCGCTCGCGATCAAGGCGTACGGAGCAGAGGTGTTATGTATTGCACCGGCATCGTGAGCGGCACGCAAGGGGCTCGATGAATGCCCCCTGGATGAACGGAGGCAGATTTTCCCACCGCGTTATCGGGCCTGCGTATTCAGCCTTGTTTGTAGCGCAAAGTATAGTCAACATCGTTTACCCTCCTACCTGAGGTTGTCCGTCGCGTATTCACATGGTCCATCGGCAAGCGCCTTCACCTTCCACCATCGCGCGCTCTACGTGCTATGTTCAGCGAAGCAGGCGCGCATACATCCAATCTCTCGCACCGGTGTCGATGGCCGCACCCGAGCGATATCGCGCGCTGATATAAACACGTCATGAAACTCTATTCTTATCCGAATCCGTCGACGCTATAAGACCTGCCCTGGGACCGAGCCCCGCTCCTGGAGACAGCCTCGCCTCTGTCCCTCCGACCCCGCCGACGTCGACCGCAGTTGCTGCCCAAAGACGATATGTTCTCCGCACCGCTGCTCCTCGTCGCTGCCGCGTTCGTTCGCGCGCAGGTGGCCAGCGCTCAGTCGAGCGACGTCTCGTACGTCTATCTGCTCTACTCTCACGCGATACGAAAGGGACAGGTCACTCATACCTGCACCGCATTTACAGGCCATCGACGACGGCGGCCGACCCGCTCACGGTGACGATCTGTGCAGGCTTCGTCGGCGCGTCGACGTCCGAATGCGTCGCCGCGTTCACGGACAGCGCCGGCCAGCTCACGGCCATCCCACTGTGAGAGATTGCCCTGTCGTGCCACTCCCCACCGATCGCGCGCTCACGTTATGGCCTAGCCCGACGACGACCGGGTCCGTCGAGACTCTCAACTGCTTCGGCGACGGCTGCGAGCTCGTGTCGACCAACAGCCTCGGGCAGCTCACCACCTCCGTCCAGTGCGTATCGCGTCCATCCGTTCCCCTTCATTTTTCCCTCCTTTCCCCCCCTTATCTCCCCCGTTCGCCCAACGCGGGACCTGCGGGCGCCGGGTTGCCCCGAGCCAAATCTATCAATCCCGCGCCTTGCGCATAGATCGAGCGAACCATCGCCATCAAACAAACCCTCAGGCACCGGACCGAACTGACGCATCCCCGGTTACCCCAGGTCCCCGGGCGCGAAAGCTACCAGCACCCCCGGCTTCTTCTCCGGCACGCATACCATCTGCGGAGACGACCAATGCTGGGCCGAATACTGGACCGGCGGAGGATGGGCCGCCGTCCCGATGTAAGCCCGTCTCTCCACCGCCCGCATCCCCCCTTCTTTGCTCCCCACTAAAGCGGGTTTTTCACTCCGATCCAGCTCGCGCACGACGTACTACGCCACGGGCACCGTCGCCGTGACCGCCTCCGGTGCCGTCGCGAGCTCGAGCTCGAGCTCGGCCCCTCTCGACGCCGTCTCCTCCGGCAGCGGCTCGAACCGCACCCTCACCGTGATCGTCCCCGCCGTGGTCGGCACCGTCGGCGGCCTGCTCCTCCTCATCCTCGGCGCGATCCTCTACATCCGCTACCGCGCCCGCAAGGACGCGCCCTCGCGCGAGTGGACGAAGAACCCCAAGCTCGACCTCGTCGCGCCCGGTCAAGCCAAGGGCGCGCGCGAGATGTCCGAGGCCGAAGTCGACGATCTCCACCGCAACGCCTTCGTCTAAACGCCACCCCCCGCAAACCATCGATGACACTGCCGTTTTTTTTTTCTCTCCCTTCCTCACGTGCGTTCGTGCTTTAGTCCACGTTTTTGTCCCCATGGGGCATGTCGGCTGATGCGCGTTTTTTTTTTGGTCTCCCCTTCTTGTGCAGTCAACGTTGCTGTGTAACATTATTCACGCCCCTCCCGTCCACGAACTCGTCTGATGCTCCCTGATCTCGTTCACGCTCCATGTTTTGTACCGGACCCGCACACGACGCCCTCGTTTGCAACGTGTCCAGAGGGTGTTTTAACCCTCGTCGCGGGACGTTAGATAAGTAGCCTAGCCGACTGCGTTGTACAATAGATGTCTCCACGAAGCAAATGACATATTACTGCCTATTTCCCAGGTTTCCTCTTCATGACGTAAGTATCCTCGGCGCCAGTCGCCGCACACAAACACCTACGAAGCTCGCGGAACCAGCCCGTCCGCGGTCCGTCGTTAAAACGCCGTCGGCTGCATCCCGCCATCGCCCACGACGATCTGCGGCACGGATTCAGTCGAACCCGACGGTGTACGCTGGCAGCGCAAAAGGAGAGGGGGGGGGGGGGGGGGCGCGGTGGAGAGGGGAAAACAATCGTCACCTTGTTCGTCATGTACGCGTTCAGGACCAGCAGCTCGACGATAGACGCGATCTCCTCCGGTTGACCGAACCGCCCGACGGGTATGAGCCTCTGGCGCGCGCGCGCGTCAAATCCCGTTTTTCTCTGATCGGAGTCAAGCACCGAGAGTCAACAGACCTTGTGTTCATCCGGCGGGTTGGCCATCATCGTCGTCCCTTGCAAGGAGAAAAACAAAAAAGGACCCAAGGTGAATTCCAACGTCGAAGGAATCCGCGATACAGATCATTTCTTACCGACGATCAGCGCCGGCGCCACCGCGTTGCACGTCTGTCGCCCACGGGATGAGTTCACGGTGGAGCAACGGAGAGAGAGGACGAGATGGGGACACTCGCGATGCCGTCTTTGGCGTATCTCTGCGCGATCCAGTGTACCAGGCCGTGCATGGCGGATTTGGAGCTGGCGTAGTGCGGCCCTAACGACCCCGCCGGCGGTCAGCGCATCATCGCATCGGGCGCTGGTACACGAATGGCCATCGACGAACCGATGACACCTCCCGTTCCTAAGACGCGTATGAGTGAGCGCACTCGAAAAAAAAAGAAACTGATAGCAGCCGAGTTTGCTCACCGGCAGCGACGCTGACGCGTAGGCCAAGAGCGTAAGCAGTGGAACACCTTCGGCGCAGACGAAGTCAGAGCTCGAACCTCGAACAGAAGATGATCCTTCCCCATTTCTGCTCTTCCATGTGCGGGATGCACAGCTGCGTCAGCTATAGCGGTGTATGGGCATGAACAAGGTGGTGAGCCGAAACTCGCAGACGAGGCACCTCCCCCCTCCATACCAGATAGGCGGTCCCGGTATTCGTCCTCCACGTCCGCTCAAACTCGTCGACGCTCATGTCGCCGATATCTCCCCGGGGCCCGATCCGCGTTCCTGTCATGCCGGAGTTGTTGTACAAGATGTCAGGGTGCCCGAGCTCGCGCACGACCTCGGCGTGCAGCCACCGCGCCTCGTCGTACGACGACAGGTCGGCCTGGAACGCGGCCGCTTTGACGCCCAGCGCGGCGACGAGCTTCGTGGCCTCCTCGGCGTTGCGATGGTAGTGCACCGCGATGGAGCATCCCCGTTTGGCGAGCGCGAGCGCGGTGGCTTTGCCAATCCCTCCGCTGGGCATATGTCGATGTCATCCAAGACAAGCCGAAGCCCGCAGGTGCGACAGAGGTTCGCCTGATACTTACGTGCATCCCGTAATCAAAGCCAACTTGCCCTGCAGCGGACGTTCGCTTTCCATGTTGCGGTTCAAGGCAGGAGATAAGATGCGTAATCGAGCAGCCGTTCCCAGTAGGTCGGAACTCGTCTTACGATGATGTCACAATGCTTCGGCGCGGGATAAAGTTCGGCTTGACGTGTTCCGGGTGGGTAGAATCGTGTACATTAAGTAGAGCAGAGAAATCTAATACGCAGTCACTGTCTGAGAACGCTTGCCCGAGGAACCCGCAGCCCATATAGCAGGTATCGGACAACCCAACATATCGCCGGCTCTCCGCATCACCTCGTCATGGCCGACTTCATAAGCAAGAGCAATTGAATGAGCCACTGGGAGGTCCGGAAGAGGGTATACGCTCACCTTTCTCCAGTGAGAGTGGACCGATCTCATGGAGCTGATACCCCTCCTTCTTGTACTTCTCCGCAGGTGTGAAATGTTCCGCGTCGACGAGATGGAGACGGACGAGCAGCCAGTCCATGAAACCGGCCAGACCGGACCGTTGCGGCTTATACCACGGTTTGCTCGCCCACCTGTCGTCGGGAGCGACTAGATCAGGGCGATTCGGCTTCAGCGATGCACAGGACTGACCTAGTGGGATGCATGCGCGCGACCTCGCCATGTTTCACGTCGGGAACCTCGAGAGGGACGAGCGGGAGAGGGTAGATGCGGGGAAGGCAAACGTAGCGCTGGAAGAGCATCGCGCCGTTAAGCACGGCCTTCGTGATCAGATGCAAGTACCACGGCTGCGCAGGTTGCCTGACGTGAGGGAAATTACTTTGTGAGATCAGAGAGGGAGGACCGCACGTACATCATCGCAATCCTCGTATGCTCGTTGAGCACGGTGATGACCAGACGATGCGCGAACGGTCGGAGCGGCTTCGGTACGTGCATCTGCCTCTGGAGCTCGCCCATGGTCACCTCCGCCACCACCAGGTTGCTATCCGCCGGAACCATGGCGCGCGCTTCGTAGTCTTCGCTCCAAGCCCGCAGCTCATCGAGCGTGGCCGGGATGGAATGGATTTCCATTCGGCGACCGATTTCCGACCAGAAAACAAAGCCGGCCTAGAAGCGCCTGCTCGATCACGTTCAATCGAGGACGGCATTTTTCATACCTGCTGCTCTAGCGGAGATAAAGGCCGCCATCCGTATCGACCCAGCCATCGCTATCAACAGACGATTAAGTCTCAGGCATTCAGTCGACCGCAGTAGACTTACTATAGGTTCCAGGACGAATAAAGACAGGGTGTAGAGGAAATCGTCATTGCTCTACATTGAAGAAAGGCCATGAGGTGCGAACTAGGAGATGATTTTGGCCCGGCTAACGATGTTGTATCGGTCGTGAAGCCAGTTCATCCTGGCGATGGCAATGTTCGCACGAGGGTCCAGATCTTGCTTGCTCGGCGGAGCGGGTTCATCAAGATCCCAATTGCCGTGTATGGGACATGTAAGGAAGGTCACTGGGAAACGAAGGCTTCAGCGCCTAGATGCGCGGTCCCGGCAGATGGCCTCAGATGCCGTATCATACCGATCAGAATCTCCGTCTGCATGCGGTGTTCGAGTTATTTGGGTCCGCATGAGAGACTGCAGTGGCTTACGTCGGCATACCGCTTTGCGATGGTATTGTCGCCGACCATTTCCCGGGTCTGCAATAGGAGCTTGGATATAGAGGGCTGTTGGCCACATCAGCAACGTAGCCCGCTAGATGTATAAGAGCTTCATAGCGCAGAATAAAGGGTACATAAGGTACGTGTGAAGCAACCAGACAGGCTTTCACATTGCGCCAAAGATAGCATGGCAGTAGATGATGCACTCACCACGGCATATGTCTTGAACAGGGCGAACGTGAGGGCGTACGTGAACAGTCCCGGCATGTCGTAGAGCTGCGCGACCAACATGATCTTTTGAGCGTCCGCCAGCGACATGGTGTGCAGCTTGTCGCCATACCGCTTCTGCAGAGCGTGCAGACGACGCCAGCGCAGGGCGCGTACGAGAGCGAGGTAGCAGACGAAGCCGGTCGTCGCGATCGCAGTCTTCGACCAGGGTCCAGCAACCACCTTGGCTGCGAGTTCGGGCCAAGACCAAGATGACGAAGTCCCAGACATTACTGCGGAACGGCGATTCTGAGAACGTCGAACAGGGGTAGGAGGTTAGTAGTGTGGTGGTCGTAAAGGTCAAGGCCAGGGTTCCGCAGCTCGAGCTCTGATGAACCATCCTGCAATATCACCGTGGTTCGCCGTTTCATACAGCTAAATTCAATACGATAGACCACTGGCGCCAGCTTTGCTCACGGTTGCAGCTTCTTCCGCTTCAGGGGAAGAGCCTTTCCGGGCAGGAGGCTCCGCTCGGCTGACCGGCATTTGTGGCATTTGTGGGTACGATACACCGCATTCACCCGAATCCAGCAAGGCTCTATACATACATATCGGGGAAGCCCCTGAGCGGACGCACCGGAGCGGAGGTCACGTGCGGCGGTGCTGATTCTTGGGCGGCGGAGGGCAGTCTCGCTGGCTGCTCGCCGCCACATCCTAGGGGCGGCAAGGAGGTCCGGCCTCCCCTCGTTTCTTTCGTATTGGATTCCGATCTCTCGTGAAATTCCGCAATGCCTCCATGGCTCGAACGACCCCCACTTTTCGTCAAACGACTGTCGGCCTTGCGCAAGGAAGAACTGCAACGACTGGCCGCCCACTTAGGGCTCGAGGAGGAGGGCACGGTGGCGGCCCTCAAAGCCAGGGCGAGGCAGAAACTCCTAGCCGACATCAAATTCTACATGGCACACCCCGACTTCAAGGCCCTATTCACGAGGCAAGAACTTGCGGAAATCATCGACAACGCGTCGAGTACTTCGAACTCCACCTTCGAAGGTATCGTACGAGAAGGGGGAGCAGGATCAGAGGAAGGCTCTCACCACGAGGAGGACGAAGACAGTAGGGAGTCGGA